TCTGTCCGGGTATTTCAACTCGCCAACCACGCAAGCTTTGAAGTTGAAATTTTGCCAGTGTGTTCCACGGCCAAGTGCCACCTCAGGACCTCATGCGCGTTTGGGCCCCGCGCACGACCATCTCATAGTCTTTACGGGAAAATTGCTAACTCGGGGATGAGAAAAGCTAGAAAGACGAAACTTTAGGGAATGTTCCCCACTCATGTACAACCAAAGCCAGCTATTTAGAAGCGCCCGGGACCCACTTACGGACACGTGAAACTTTTGTCGGAAAAACTGCTAACTTGGGAACGAGAAAAGCCAGAATGCTGTAATTTTAAGGGGATGTTTCCGAATCACGTTTGATTAAAAGATTTCAAATTCGACTCTTCTAGTGGGGTCTTTTTCGCCCACCAGCAATTTTCCACTGCCGGTCACTGAAGGGGACATATGCAACTTACAAGCCACATAGCTTAACTTCGTAAACTTCGAGGGCCAGTATGTCAGAAGCTGTAGCTACTGTGATTCCTTGCGATCTTGCCAGAATACGAAAAATGCAAAAACGCATGATCGCACCAGCCCCCCTGGTGCATCCTAGCTTGAATTTCCGTTCTTCTCTCGTTTATCAAACAGTTTATTACAAGTTATTGCGATGAAGTTGAAATTTTTTAGAAGTCTAGTTGATTACAAACACTAAGCTTTGCTTTTTGCTGTTACACTCATAAGTTTTATGAATCATCGTTTATATCTTTTTCAATCCATACTTGATCGTGGCTTGGGTTAGTAATGAAACTTACGGTTACGAAGCATTGGAAAGAATAAACCCCTGAAATTGGAGCTATTTGTTTGATATATCTCATTTGCAGACACTCGAAGAGAAAAGTGTTTTGCAAAAAAAAAAGACATGAAGAACTACAGGATCGTGTTTAACGTGTGATTCTAGAAATAAGCTTGCAATGCGCAAGATTGTGCATGATGATATTAGCCAGAATTGATAAAAGGTGGGGGCAGAGTGGGAAGCACTTAATTCATAGTTTGCAGGAAGGTGTCGACGACAAGATGATCTTCCACCATTGCCAAGCTACGAAGATGCTACCAAATTACCTCCACTCATCAGGTTCTTTCTTACTATCTTCTGAATGCTGTTTCTTGCCATTTTTTGCACTTTTGTCTTGCAAAAAGCTACAAGGCGCATTACGGCAAGGCTGGATCTGTATGTCTGTTCGCGCATTTGCCTGGACGATCACACAGTTTAATTCCTGATTTTCAAAAACGGGGATTTTAAATTTTGCGAAGAAACTGAAACAAATCCTCAAGTGGCTTAGCCTCTTGACCCCTGTTCTCAGTTAAGGTCCAAACAAATTTCACTGTTTCAGGCCCTTGATGTTACAAGCTTGAACTTCTAAAAACAAATTTTCCAGTCATGTACAGGGCGAAAACAGAGAAACTTATACTGAAATTGCATAATGCCTCGACTTTTGGTCTCACGCTTCAATTGAGGCAAATATTATAACTCAGGACGCTAAAACGTGCTTGAAATTACAAAACAAAAACCTTGTCTGCATAGAGGTTAAAAGGAGCCTGAAAACGAATATTAAACCATTTTTGTTTTTTGATCTTTGGCTCCATGTCTAAAATATAGTAGTATTTGTAGGCGCTGATCCAAATAAATTACGAGCCTGAAATTTCAGGCGTAAATTCTGTAGTATTGCATCAGGCCGCAGATCTAAAATCAACTTTGTCCAGTTAATATCTAATTTCCTATTGATTTTTAATTTAAAACGAGCAAAGCTAGGAGCTTGTAATTCTGAGAACATCGTTCTACACGCGTTGTGCCTTGCTAGCTCAACCCTATTTCATCTTTCTACTCACAAGACCAGAAACTGTGCAACCATTGCCTTATTCCGAACTATATTGAGGAGGGTTCTGGGCGCAAATATATAACCCCATCGGCTGCTTGCTGAGCACCGCTGTTTGTTTCTAATGTGGAAGCCATCTCGGGCTATGTCAGCTTTTGCTCGTTTTGGTACTTTTGGGGATTCCACCTGCAGCGAGTAGAGGTGTATTTCGTATCCTCTTATCTATCTGGTGGCTTGTTCAATTTCTCCGAATAAATGCATGTATTTTAGGCCACAGCTGAGTGAAGTAGAAGCGGTGACAGAAGAGGAGGTGGTTAATGATGATTCCCACTCACGTGAACTGCGCGGTAGTGGCAATTCGATCGCTGAGACCAATGAAGAAACATCGACTGCGCAAGCTCCATCAACATTATTAGAACCACCCGCTCCAATACCGCACTCAGCATCTGCGCGCATGGAAATTTTCACCACTGAAAGTAGCTCCAAATTTGATAAAAATTTACCAGCGAGGAGAAGTATTTGATACTTAGATCTACCCATCATATACGGGCAAACGTTTTCTTTTATAGTTTTTTTTTT